CACAGCAATAGGCATTGCAGCCATGTCGGCCCCAGGAGATTAGAGAGATGAGGTGGGGGAGGCAATATCTTTTATTGGACCAACTTCTGTGACAGAGACAAGCTTTCAAGCTACACCAAGCTCTTCTGCAGGGCTGGGAAAGACACTTCCAGTGTCACAGCTAAATACAAGATGGAACCGATTCTTTAGCATAAGCAGTTAACACCTTGTGATGCTCTGAGTTGGTTTCCCAGACCTGAAGATGAGCTCAAAAGCTTGTCTCTCTCACCAGCAGAAGCTGGTCCAATAAAACATATTACCTCCCCCACCTTGTCTCTCAAATCTATTATTGTTTAGCATTGGCATTACATTCACACCCAGAGGCTTTGACTTAGGCCTGGTCTACACTAGAAAATTAAATTGGTTTAACTACTTCTCTCAAGGGTGTGAAAAATACACACACACACACACACCCAAATGGCGTAGTTAAGCCAACCTAACCCCCAGTGTAGACAGCACTAGGTGGACGGAAGAATTCTTCTGGGGACCTAACTGCTGTCCTGTGGGGAGGTGACTAATGGGAGAACCCCTGCTGTGGGGTGGGTGGCGTCTACACTGAAGTGCTACAGTTGAGTGTAGACAAGCTCTGAGACGAAGTTGCCTTTATGCAGGGGTGGCCATAGCCTCCCAATTCCACGGGTGCGCTATGTCCTCCCCACACGCACCCTGGCGCAGCCGCTCTGTGCTGCAGGGCTGGGCCCAGCCCCCTGCTTTGCAATCTGGCGCACAGGGTGACAGTGCCACTGATGGAGGGGCAGCCAGGCCAAATCTGAGGCAGCGGGGTCAGAGCACCACTGAGGGTTGTCGCTTTTGATTTCTGGGGGTGCAACTGAACCTATGAGCCCCCGGGCTAAAGGCAGCCCTGCCGTGACATAACCTCCCTCTGCACAGATACAATATCCAACGCGGACCGCCTGGTGCATGGCTCTGCCCTGTGGCTTCTCACCCTAGGGTGTCAAACGCTCCCACCTCATTTGGCGCTGGTGTGCCAGTGACGGGGGCAGTGCAAAGGGGACTCAGAAGTGGGGGGCACTGCGCAGAGCTCTGTGTGGGGGTGCGAGGCACGGGGCGGAGGGTGAATGCACAAGTACAGGGTGGTGTTGGGTTGTAGGGGGCATGGGGGGGACACAGGGATGAGGGTGAATGGTCTCTGCTCCAGGGGGGTGCAGGTGCCTGCCCCGGGTAGGGGGCGGCCCTAGGGAGACGCGGGGGGCTGGTCCCGGGGTGGGAGGCTCCGGACCGGGGGCTGGGGCCGGGAGGCTGATCTCGGTCTGGAGGGGCTGGCCCCGGGGACGGGGGGCCTGACCAGGTGCGGGGGAGCCGGGGTCTGAGTCAGTCTCTCGCGGCTCCCCGCGCTCGGCCGGGCGGGGCCGGGGGCGGGTCTCAGGGCCCCGGCGCCGCCGCTCTCCGGCGCTGGGCGAGGCGGGGGCCGATGGACGCGGGGCCGGAGGCGGAGCGGGGCCCGGCCTGGGGTGGCTGCCGGCCGGGGGGGCGGCTCGACATGAGCCACGGCTTCGTGCGGCACATCCGGCGGAACCAGATCGCCAGGTACCGGCCCGGACCTCCGGGACCGGACCCTGCCCCCCAGGACCGGACCCCGCCCCCCGAACTCCCCGGGACCTGACCCCGGATCTCGGGACCGAACCCTGCCCCCCAGGACCGGACCCCGGATCTCCCGGCACCGGAACCTGGCCCGGACCCCGCCCCCTTGGATCTCCAAGTGCCGGATCCTGGGCGCGGACACTCCCCCAAATACCTGACCCCGTCCCGGGGCTGGGACTCCTGGTCCTTGCCCCCAGGGAACCCCCGCCCACATGAGAGCTCCCAGCCCTGCAGACCCCCCCCCCCCAGACAGCAAGGGTTGGGGGAGCTGGACCCTCACTGGGTGCAGGGCTGGGAGACCCCGGCTGGGGGGGCTGGTATTCAATCCCCTCCCAGGTCACGCCTGCCCCCACCCTGGCACATTTCGGGTCAAGGGCATGGCATCTATGTACCAGCCCTGCCAGTTCTCTGTTCAGCCGTGGAGCCTCGGGGGCTGGGTGGGAACAGGACCCCAGCTACTAATGCGTACAGCAAGCAGGACGCCTTTCTCCAGCTGGGCGAAAAGAGTAGGTGCCTATCCCCCATCCTCCTCCGCAGATAACCTGTAAGGGGGTGGCACTGGAGAACAGGGTAAGATGGGGCAGGTAACACCCCCCCACAGCACCAGCCCCTCGCCCTGCCACAAGGCCTATGCAAACATGCCCCACGTGCACCCCCCTAGGTGTGGTAAATCAATGGCATCTCCAGGCAGGCCTGTCCCGGCTCCCAGCCCCGCCAGCCCCATACCCAGCTGCAGCCCCAGGCCTCACTCTCCTCCCCATCAGGGACGACTACGACCGGGAGATGAAGCAGGCCAAGGAGAAGGTGAAGAAGAGGCACACGCCGACCCCGCCCCGGCCCAGGAAACCCGACCAGCAGGTGTACCACCCCTGCCGGAGAAGTGAGCACAGCTGGCGCCCTGCTTTCTGTGCTCCCACTGGGGAGCGGATGGGGCATGTGTACAGCAGAGAGGGGGCGCCTCCCCCTCAGCCCTCATTGTGGGGGCTGCCCAGGCATTGTTAGCTCCTGTGCTGATCCAAGTCATTGAGTTTGGTGGGGGCAAGTCCAGGATCCCCCCAGCACCGTGTCTGCACCTTTGGTGCGACGGGCGCCAGTTCTAAGGGGCGGCTGACCGACCAGCCAGGTTTGGGCCGTGGCCAGGCTGAGGGATCAGATGGGGACAGGCCTGGCATGCCCAGCCCTTTCCTTGGTCACTGGCAGTGCCACAGAGCAGGGGTTTAACCACGCGGTCCCTTTGCCCGGAACCCTGGGTCCAAATCTCAGTGACGGTCGCCCGCAGGACCTGGCTCTGGGCCTCCTAACTGGTGCCCATCCCAGTCCAAAGATGATCACGACTGGCCACTTCTGCTTAGCAGGATTCTGAGGGGCTGCGGGTCGGGATTCAGGGGCACTGGCAGAGCTGGTGGGGAGCCCAGGGCTGAGCTAGCAGGGGGCTGCGGGTCGGGATTGAGGGGCATTAGGTCAATGCCCCTTAAATCTGACGGATTCCTGGTGCCAGGTTCAAGGACTCCATTTCCAGACTGCTGCGTCCATGCCCTGTGTTCTCTGGGTGGGTGCAGGCACCACCTGGCCACACTCCCCTCATCGGCTCCCTTATGCTCCCCAGGTCGAGCTGACCCAGCCTGCGGCCTGGAGTATGAGGGGTCTAGCGAGAGCAGCTCCAGCACCGAGCCAGACCCCCGCGGCACAGAGCTCTTCTGCCTAGAGTATGAGGCCGACAGCGGCGAGGTCACCTCGGTCATTGTACACCAGGTATGTGCCTGGCAAACCAGGCAGGGGGTGGCAGGAGAACAGGGCGGCAGGGAGGGGATCTCCTGGCAGGAGAGGGTGGGAGCTAGTAGGGAGCGCTCTCCCCCCGGGTCAGTGCTGACCCCAATGACTGAGCGAGGTGTTAGGGGCCTGGGCTGCAGGGAGCAGGGCAGGGGCACAGCTCAGGGAAGAGGGTTATGGGGTTCAGCAGGGGGCGCCGTGCTGCAGGGGGTGGAGCAGGGGGCACTGTGCTCTGGGGAGCAGGGCGAGGGCTCAACAGGGGGCGCTGTGTTGTGGGGACTGGAGCGGAGGGTGCTTTGCTGTGGGGAGAGGGTGGGGGGCTCGAGCAGGGGGGTGGAGTGGGGTGGGCTGTACTGTGGGGAGGCAGGTGTGGGGTTTGGCAGGAGGCGCCGTGTTGTGGGGACTGGAGCGGAAGGTGCCGTGCTGTGGGGAGGAGGTGTGGGGCTTGGCAGGGGGTGCCGTGTTGTGGGTAGCAGGGTGGGGGGCTTAGCAGGAGGCGCTGTGCTACAGGGAGTGGAGCAGGGGGCGCCGGGGTTTGGGGAGTGGGGGGGGGCTCGGCAGGGGGCGCCATGGTTTGGGGCGTGGGGCAGTTGCTTGACGGGGCCCTGTGATGCAGAGAGCAGGGTAGGGGGCTCAGCAGGGGGTGCTGTCACTCCTAGAGTTCTGTGTGGTCCCTCCATCCCATTGGTGTCTCTCGCCCTCTCCCCTTGCTCCCCCGTCTCTCCGGGGGCAGAGGGCACCTCCACATGCCAGCTGCCGGCCCAGCGGCCCTCCCCTTCTACAGACAGGAGCCAGGGCCTGCAGACCCCATGGCAGAGGCTGCAGCCGCCGCAGAGTGACAGGGGATTGTCCGGCTGGGGCATGCTGGGGCCCTAGCACATGCTGCCTGGGGTTGTACAGGGAGCTGGCGCTCAGCTGCTCGCTCCGCCAGGAGGGAGGGCTGGGCGCATGCGGGAGCTGGGTGGCAGGAGTTTCCAGAACTGATGCGGGCCCTGCCCCTCTCACTGCAGGACGACAGCCCTGAGGAGGTGACGGAGAAGGTCTGTGCCCGGAGCCCGCTGGAGCCGCCCCTGCGTGAGGCCCTGAGGCAGAGGGTGCAGGAGGAGCTGCGGAAGCGGCGGGCGAAGCGCTGAGGCTGGCCGTGCTGAGTGAGGAGCTAGGCGCAGAGGGGGAGCTGCGGCACCCTGGCTGGGGGTGTTGGAGGCTGTGGCCCCGGGGAGCGAGAACCCGGCTGCCCCAAGCTCCCACAGACTTGCTGAACGGGTTTGTTCCCTGCCACTCCCAGCCACCCCCAGCAGCCAGGGCCCAGCGCTGGTGCCCCAAGAAGGAGCTGGCTGCTAGGTAGGGATCCTGAGCGGGGTGGCCTGTGGGTCCTGGGAACTGGGGCAGATGAAGCCCTGGGCACAGCCTGGCGGGAGGAGTCTTGCCCAGCCTGGTAATGCCTGGAGGGTGCACCGGTGCTGACAGGCCCCATGAAGCCACTCTGCCCCCATGGTCCTCCAGCCTCCCCTCCCCCAGGATCCCCCTGCCCCCCATCCCCTCAGGGTCCGCCCACCCCCAGCCTCCCATCCCCCTAGGGTCTCCCTGCCCCCATTCCCCCTGACTCCCCCGTCAACCTGCCCCCTGACTTCCATGCCCCCAGGGTCCCCCATTCCCCCAACTCCCACCTCCTGGGGTCCCCTATCCTCCGTTCTATGGGTAGCTGAGCTGCTCCCTGTTCTGGCTCAGTTCCCACGGGGGGCTCACACCCAGGCAGACTGTCTTGTTTAAGGGAGCTCTGTGGCTGGTTGAAGGTGCCAGGCTGTTGGCCAGCACACAGCACGGGACCTGGCAGCTGGGGCGGTGGCCAGAGGGCACCGGGATTGGGCTGGTCCCTGAGAGGTTCCCATGGGCCCTTACCTCCACCCAGGCAGGAATGTGCCACTGAGCCCTTTAGGGGACGCCCTGTGTCCTGGGTGGGGGAACCGGCCGAACCCCATTGGATCTGCCCTACACGCATGGTGGAACCGCCCCCTCGGCGCCGGGCTGCGTCAGGCATCTCGGCTCTAGTGCCCGTTGGCCCCGGGGCGCTGGAGAAATGAATGAGCCCCGTGCTCCAGTGCCATGGCCATCCAGGCCTGCCCCAGGGAGCTCTCGGCACCAGGACCGCAGGGCCCTGTGCTCGCAGCACCAATAAATGTCCTGACAAAACAGAACCGGGGTGTGTAGTAACGAGCATTCCTGTGCGACCCCTGCCTGGATGGGGATCGCTGGGGCCGCACACTGGGGGTGTTCTAGCCCCCGACCCCCTTTGTCTCCCAGGCTTTAGAACTGGGGAGGGTGCGGTCCTCAACTCATCCTCGCCCCTCCCCTGAAATGGACGAGTCTTATCAGCCTGGCCCAGGTCACCCAGCAGAGCTAGGAATGGGCCCCGCTCCCCTGAGCGCCAGCCTGGTGCCCTCATCGCTACGCAATGCTGACCCCTGGCGTGTGATTTCATCTGTCTGCTGCCACGGCCCCGGCGAATGCTGCACACGCCAGCAGCTCTTCCTTCCCCCCAGGATCTGGAGAGGCACTTCGGCTGCTGTTCCGCCCCCTGAGTTGGTGGGGAAACTGAGGCGCAATGAGCAGAAATGACTCAGGCCAGCTCAGGCAGCCGGTCAGCAGCAGAGCTGGGAACGGAACCCGGGAGTCCAGCTTCTCTGTCCTGAGCACTGAGCAGGAGGCAGTTCTTGTGCTGCCCAGTCCCCCCTGGTGTTAGGTGCCTCTCCACCAGGCCCTACCCCTTGGAGGACACCTCGCCCCCTGCACTCACTCCCACACCCATCGGCCACCTCCCTTGGGGGCAGAGAGGTGGGGCCGCCTGAGGGAGGGTATAATTCCCACTAGGGCCTGTTCTGGGGCAGGGCGACTCATCCGCTTCTCTGGCACGTCGTGTGTGGGGGGCAGTGATCAGTTTTCGCTGAGCCCAGAACTCGCATGAGCCTGAAGGAGAAGATTCTTGCCCCTAAGGCAGGTTGGTAGATGGGCCTGCATGAAGAGTTGTTCCCTTTAAATGGAGCAAAACCCTCCCATGTGCACGTCTCTGTTTGAACCAGGTTCTAGCAGTTTAAATTCAGTGGATTGGGAACTGGTTCAAGCTGACGTGTGATCAGTGTGTCCTCAGGGGGGCGACGCTGGTTTCACTAAACTGGCACAAATCGCGGGCAGGGGGCTGCCTTTTCATTGTGTGGCATCCCAGGCACTGCCACAATCCAGATACTCAGACAATCCCGCAAACCTTTCTGTGCCTAGGTCACTTTCAGACCCTGCTCATGTCTAGCTACGCACAGAACGACCGTGCCACTGAGCTCAAAGCGCTTGCAATGGGCACCATGGCTATCCCCATTTTACCAAAGAGGAAACTGAGGCACAGGAGGGGAAAGCCCAAGGGTCACCCGGGAAAGCCCAAGGGTCACCCAGCAAACCCGTGGTCTAACCACTAGCCACATAGCTTTCCTGAAATTAAAGGGAAGAGAATAGTCACTTTTCCTGCAATGGGATTGGACTATGCAGCCATTTGCACCCAACGGTTGCATGGTCAAATACTTGTCCTTCTGTCACGTTCTTGCAGTGATGGGGGTCTGCGGGGTGGTGGGAACTCTGGGAGGCACACCGGTTTCACACAGAAAGGTGGTCTTCGGGTGTCTGTTTACCATTCAGAGTTTACAGCCGCAGTGTCTGAGCCGGACCCCGCCCGCTGGATGTATTTCTGCGGCCTGCGTGGCACGTTCAAATCCTGCGGCATCTCGGTCTTTGTTTGAACTGCAAAGGGAATGTCCAGCCAGCGGGGTAGTGAAGAAACCCCTGAAAACGTGCCCTGTGAGATAGCATTGCCTACCTGAGTCTGCAGAGAGCCTGAAGCAAGGGCTCGGAGAGCTGCAAATGCTGCACTGAGCCCAGTGTTGACTCCAAAGCCCGTTGATGGCACTTTCAGTGTCTGTGTTCGGTGTCCCATTGCGGATCCTTCGAGCAGCTGGACGGGGGGGCACTCCCGGGTGGCAACGGCTGACGGGAAGAACGGAAAAGATGCACTGTGCCAAGGGAGCAGGGGAGAGAAACGGGGCAGGGCTGGCCTCCAGGGAAGCAGAGGCTCCTATCAGGCCATGCTGGATGCAACAAGAAGGGCCTAGGAATAACCATGAGAGTTGCTACCTGCAGGCCACGTTCTCCCCCATCTCTGTGCAGCTCCCCTTGGCGTCAGCAGCGGCTCCGAGGGGGCCAGGGTGTCCCAGGGCCATGGCCAGGCCATGGAACGTGGCATCCAAACATGTCCACCAAACGAGCTTGTCAGCCAAGGTTTGTAACAAGCCTGCGCCCGTCGCTGCCCCCAAACGCTGCTGTGAATCCAGGGCTCCTGACCGCTGCCGAGTGCATGGTGCGTACCCAACTGGGCCCCAGGGGATCCGGGCTCATACTGGCGCCGGTCGACCCGGAGCAGCCAGGAGTTCTCTCAGATGGGTGTGGAGATGGGTTATTTGCCTGATATCCCCTGTGCCTGCGGGCGCGTGGCAAGCTGTGGGAAGGACCCAGCTGTCCTGGGCTCTCTTACCCATGAGAAGCACTCTCCTATTTCACAGCCCTGGAGCTACAAGGCCTCTAGCCACAGCTCGGGTCCAGGGGGAGTGACCCCCCCTCTAGGCAGCCCATCTCAGCCCTGCTTGGGACAAATTCGAACCCAAGGGTGAGGGGATCTGAGTGTAGGGCAGAGCATGACACCCACCGCTGGGAATCTGCAGCACCTGCCAGCCAGGGATCCCCAGCCACTGCATGCAGGAGCGACCTAGCTGCACAGGGCAGTGTCCTCTCCTCCAGGCTACAGCTGGGGAAACTGAGGCATGGAGTAGGGAAGTGGTGTGTTGAAGGTCACATAGTCCGTGGCAGCGATGGGGCTAGAGCCCAGGAGCCCTGAGTCCCAGCCCCTTTGCTCCAGCCCACCAACACGCTGACTCCTGGAGCTACTTTGAACTGGGACCTGATGAATTCCCATTTCGCTCCCCCCATACTCACCCAGTCTGCTGTCAGCAGCATTCCCGCCCAGCTGCCCTGCTCCTCGTGGCTCTCGTTCACCCCGCTACCCTGGCAGCAGCGCGGCCCAGAAACCTACAGCCAGTAGGGAACGGGCCCTGGGTTGTCAGATCCATGGTCTCCCATCCCAGGGCCTGCAGCCACCAGGGTAGGAGTGATTTTGGGAATATCCAGGGGACTTGTTTATAATCTCCCAGGCTCGGCTCTGGTGTAACTCCAGAGCCGAGATTAGCCCCCTTCCCGCTGTCTGGGATGTTGGGGCTCTAAGGGTGATGTGGGGAACCGACAATGCAGTCGTGGCTGCTGGCTTGGAGGCAGTGGCAGATTAGTCACTGGGCCAATGGGGCCCGTGCCCAGGGACCCTGGCCAATTGGGGGGGGGGGACAAAAAATGGGCAATCCCGTGCCCCGACTCACTCCCCTGCCCACCCAGCGCTCCTGCCGGGGAGCAAGGGAAGCCCCCACATCCCAACCTCATTTCCCCGGCAGGAGAATGTGGGGGAGGGGATCCCACTTGCTTTGGTCCAGGGCCCCACAAAAGCTTAACCCGCCTCTGCTTGGAGACCTGGGGTCAGCGCTGGCAGGGTCCTGGAGGGCAGAGAGGGTGAGTCGCAGGCTGCAGGCTTCTCCAGACCTAGGGAAGGCCGGAAAGCAACCGGTGCACCCCTGACACCCATAAGATTGTGGCTGAAGAGGGATTGTGTGGTGGGGGATGGGGCCTGATCCACTCCCTCATCATCTGATTTACATGGCTGGCGGGATGGGGGAAGACCCCTGACCCCAGCACTTGGCAGGGAGAGGCGTCACTGCCAGCGTGGCCAGAAGATCTCACCCACACGGAGCTGGTGGCACAGGGGCAGCACTGAGGTTGGGTGGATCATTTCCAGCCTCTCCTGGAGGCAGAAAGCTTCTTGGCTAGACATGCCAAACCTGCGGAAAAAACGCAGAAATTGGGCTTGTTTTTGGCTTAATTGGCTTGTGAGTTGCTTGTTGGCTAGTTTGGAGCTTGTAGCTTGTTGTAGTTCCTTCTTTTGTTTTATTAGCTCCCAGGAAAGGGGGGGGGCAAGCAGGGTCCAGGGCGGGAGAGAGTCAGAGGTGCACAGCAGGCCCCAGACTGCACGGCCGGGGGGATCTAGTCACATGGAGTGTTGGGGTTCTTAGGGATTGGCTTGTTTTGGCCTTGTCTGGATGGGACTAGCTTGATTTTGGGTTTATTGTGAAAGTCAAGGTGCTTAGTTACTGCGGGAAAGTTGGCAACTGTGTTCTGGGCTGATCCACTGCCAGGCTGTTTGTCTGGGGATGGTTGGATCCATCGGGGCGGAGGGGAGCCAGCAGTCAGTGGGGTGTTAAGGATGGTGCACAATGCGAGCAAGACACCCCAGAGTGCATGGCAGGGCCAGGGGCACCAGCCCTGTGCAGCTCCCACCTGCTCCGTGGTAATATCTGCTCCTCCTTTTCCTGAATCCGCATGGGATATGAACACCCCCCTGGCTGCAGCCCAGGCTCCTGACCTCAGACCCACCAAGGCCTGGACTCAGCCTAGAGCCAGGATTTAGACCCTGAGCTGGGACCCCTAATTCAGGACTTGGACCCGTGGCAGGACCCCCCGTATTGTGCCCCCCCCCCGACCTGTGCTGAGGACAGGACTCGAACCGCAACACAGGAATTCCCGAGGGAGGGGAAACATTGACTCCCCCTCCCCATCTCAGAGATGGGTCAGTCCAGCCTGACCCCCTCATTCAAACGTCAAACCCCGCCCCTTCTCAGGGATCCCTGAGAAGCCGTCGTAGAAGCCCCGCCCCGTCCGATAGAGCTCCAACCCAGCCCCCTCCGCTCTATTGTCCCGGCTGTGGTCGCTTCGCGCTGCATGGCGGGAGTTGTAGTCCTGCACAGGGGTGGCTCGGAAACGACAGCTCCCGTCGGGCCTTGCGCGCCGCGGTCAGCTGCGCGGGGGCGGGGCCGGCCTGGCCTGTTAAAGGTCCGTGTGGAGCCGGCAACCCCGGCGCGCTGGGGCCGGGACGGGAGGTTGCGGCGGGGAGCGGGTAAGAGACCCCCCGCCCCATCCGTGGGAACGTGCCTGGCCCCCTCCCCCCAGAGACCCGGATCTGCCCCCCCCCCCGAGACCCGGGGTACCTCCACACATCTGGGTCGCCCCCCCTACTGGCCCCCGGGTTTGTGAGCTCGCGAGCGAGGGCGGTGCGGGCTCCCGTCTGTCCGACCTCGCTCCGGGAGCACTGGGTGGGCGCGGGCGCTGCAAGACCCTGGGTGGAGAAGCCGGGACCCACCCCGCCCCCCGCGGCCCCAGAGCTGGCAGCGCTGCAGGGTCCCTGCTGCACCACCCCCGGGATCCCGGCAGCGCGGGGCCGGGGCCGGCTTTGCCGGAATGACCCGGGAAACCCGCGGGGATCCAGCGCTGGCGGCGGCCCGGAGGTGCGGGATGAATGAAATGTTGCTGTCCCTGTCCCGAGCCCAGCCCGTAACCCTGATACTTGGCTGGGACGCGAAGCCTTTAGGTGTGTGGCCCCAGGGGCTGCCAGGGCCTGTCTCGTCAGGTAAATCGCCGTCCCCTCGTGGCAGCCGATCGGAAAGCGTCCAGGCACTGGCTGTGCCCTGGAAGCTGAATTCTAATCTCACTGCTAGGCGGGGTCCCTCCAGGCCAGGGGGATGGGGAGAGAGAGGCCTTGTCTCTTCACCCCCTGCTATGGGGAGAGCTTTGTTCTCCAGGGCTGCCTAGCTAGCCCAAGTCCCACGCAAGGAAGGAGCGAGTGCCAGAAAGTCTGTGTCCTTGAGCCCCTGGATCAGTGCATGGGGAGGGTGCTAAGCAACAGGGCCAGGGATGGCTGCCAAGCTGGGCCCTTGGCTTCGAATCCAGCAGCATGAAGGTGAAGTAAATGTCCTGCTTCCTTGGTTGGAAGTGCACAAGGAGCTGGAAAGAGAAGGGTGGTGGGGGTGTGGCTTAGTGGCAGTGGGGCTGTGTCAGCGGGAGGGGGGGGTGTTGTATCAGTATGTGGTAATGCAGCTGTAGCACAAAGCGGGGGAGCACCCAGGAGCTGGCTGCCCAGGGGCACAGGAGAAGGGTGGGCTGGAAGAATCTGCAGCTGCCCTATGCCCAAGAGGGTCTCCCTGCCCCGATGGAAGCATGGTCATGAAGAACTGCCTGCTGCCATCCTGTGACACTTGTCATATGTCCCAGCATTGACACGCATTGTGCCCTGGCTGCAAGGTCAGGGGTGAGTGGGAGAGGGCTTTGTAGTGCTACCAGGGATTTGGTGGGAGAGCACAGGTGGTCTAGTACATTGGCTAGAGCCAGGGGGTGGGCCTGGGGACTCCTGGGTCGGTGGGTGGGATGATGGACACCTGCTGTCCAAGGGATGTGGCTGTTAAAGAGGAAAACAGTCCCAACCTGAGGGGCTCCAAGGTAGTGGTGACCTGACACCACCTCTTCTCCCACCCCCCTCGGTGTAACAGTAGGTCTGGCTGCTGTTGGTTGACATTGGCACTTCTCTCTCTCTCTCTCTCTCTCTCTCTCTCTTCCAGGCAGGTGCCTTCTGATGGTTCCGAGTGGAGGCCTTGGATTGTAGCTGGTGCCCATCCGTCCCCCCCCTTCCTCCCTTCCCTTCCCTTCCCTCCTCATCTCCGAGTCCCCCACCACACACACATGTTCCGTATCTGGACTCACTAATGACAGCCTGGATCATCCTCCCCATTAGCCTGTCCACCTTCTCCATCACTGGGATATGGATCGTGTAAGCAGCCACTTTGCTCTGGTTTGTGTAGTGATGTGGGGAGGGTGCTGGCTAACCAACAGGGGCTGGGATCTGGCTAATGAACAGGGTGCTCCAATAGCCATGAGATTGGGTGGCTAGTCCATGGGCTGCTTCCTCTGACAGTCTAAGCCCCAAACCAGGTGACTTTGAATCCAGTGAAGGACAGGTTCCCGCCTCTCTGTGGGCTAACAACCCCTCCCTTTAGTAGCCTCCTATTCTGTGAACTGATTGTTGCCACCATGTTTTACTTGAGTCTTGGATTCACTCCAGTTCTGCCCCCTCCTGGTGTAACAGTGGCTGGCGGCTCTTTGTGTCCCCAGCCCAGCTTGGGCTCCAGGGTGGCCGCTGTCTGGGGTGCTGGTGTGTGTGTGGGGGGGGTCACGGAGTGAGCACTGAGGTTTACATTGTGATGGGGTGGGGAAAATGGAAAGGTGGGGTGGGATTGGGAACAATTACTTTGGGAGGTGCAGATACCACTATTCCAGTGCTGGGGGCACCTCTGGGTCCTCTCTGAGCCCTGCCCCTCTGTGATCAGGGCATCAAACCGGCATAAGCTGTGTGATGAATCCTCAGTCGCCAGGCTCCATGAGCTGGGAGCCATAGCTACCTGTGGGCCTGGCCAACATCCTGCCGCTTACACTTCAGTGCATTCCCCTTGCTGTAGCCCCTTGGCCTGTGTCTGACACGGGAGCCTGTGGGGGAGGGTTAACTGGATCCCCTTTGCACCAGGTAAATGGTGGTCACTACAGGGCTCAGCATTCTTGTGTCTGACCCATGGTGTCTGCTGAGTTTGGCTTCAGGACTGGCCTTACGAGCCCAGAACGGGACTTCCTGCCTGCAGGGTGAGTGGTTCGAGGGCTGTGTTCCAACCCAGGACAGCAAAGGGTCCACTGACGGCCGCTCCTAAGGGGCGCAGTTCAGTGCTCCCGCGGGTACAGCCCTCTGGCACTTACCCCCTCCCCCCCCTCCCCCCAGTGAGGGGGAGCTACTGGCCAGTGTGTTTTCAGGCAGACCTAGATGCTAGTGGAGCTGGGTGGGGTCCCTCTCCTAATCCTCCCCAAGGTGCGGTTGGCGTGTCTCCCACGGTCCTCAGCACGGCTGCCTTGACAATAGCCGCCCTTGTCCTCATCTCTGAGAGAGCCCCAGTGTGTCCCTAACTTACCCTGCAGTACCAGGCTCCAGCCACTGGGGGGACCCTTGTCCTCATCCACATGGGCAGAGCCAGGGTCACCCCAAACCGTGTTGGGCTGAGTGCCCCTCTGCAGGAGGGGAGTCCCTGGGGGCTGTCGGTGCCAGGATTGAGGGGAGTGGCCTTGCAAAGCTGCCCATGAAACAGATGGGAATTCAGATGCAGAGTGCTAACCTAGGCGTAATCCCCTGGATCCGGCTGCTGCCTCACCTGCAGGGCCCGCTGCCCCATGAGGACTCCACAGAGCCCGCTGGGGCAGGCTGGCCAGCCGGGCAGCCTTCCTGGACCCCATCACAGCCCCTGGGAGGCTCTTGCGCACGCTGGGTGCTTAGAGCATCCAGCAGTTGTTGCTGATGGCTCCAGCCCTGGCCTGGGACCTTGGCAGTGAAGTGACAGCTTGGTTAAAGGCAGGGAGGTGGGAACTCGTTATAGATGGTGACCGGGGGCTTGTGCAGTTACACAGAGGGTAGCTCAGAGCCCCTTGTATCTCACCCCCAGCTGCTCCTGGGGTTGGCAAAACGCCCCCCCCCCCACCACACACACACACATGCTCTCCTGGAGCCACTCGGGAGTTGCAGGGAGTGGGGAGGCTGTGCCAGTTTGGCCCAGTCTGGAGTGGCAGGAGCTCAGAAGGGCGCAGGGGTCGGGGGGGGCCCTGCCAGGGCTCAGCACCAGCTGCTCTCACTGACTGTAAGTGGAGGTGAGGACTCAGGACCCTGATGGGAAGCAGGGCCTGGTGAGAGCGGGGCGGAGGCAGGGCCCTCGGCCAGGGGGGCTGGCAGATGCGGTGTCAGGCCAGGCCATCGAGGTCAACCCCATCTGCTCCCCCAGTATAAGGAGGTATTGGGGAGGGGGCTGTGCTGGGGGCAGCTCTGCACCAGGTGGGGGCGGGGTCAAAGGTGGCTGGAGGCTCCTCAGAGCAGTTTGCCCCTGACTTTGCCTGTCAGGTGACCTTTGACCATACAGGGTCCTGGGCAAGGAGCGCAGGCCTCCACATGCACCGGGAATGAGCCGGGCCTGGCTGCCCCCAGCAGCGTGGACACAAGGCTCAGCCCTTCACCCCTGCGGCCCCGCACGTGCCCTGCTCAGGTAGGGGTAGTGACAGAGTGGGGAGAGGGTCGCAGGCTGGGAGCTCAGCTGCCCCTCCCCTGCCAGCTCCCAGGCCTTTCTTGTGCTCTCTTGGGCCAGGCTATCAAACCGTAGTGCCCCAGCCTTGCCAATGCAGGAGTCTGGGCTCCGCAAGGAGTCATGGCGGTGACACTGCAGTGCCTTCAAACTGCCCCAAATCTGGCCCCCCCAGCCCTGCTCCCCACGGAATAGCCCCTGGCCTGCATACCCACTGCCAGCCTGGATCACAGCTCTGAGCCGGTGCCCCCAGGCCCCAGGAGCAGCCCCTCCCTGCCACCACCGCGGTGCTCTTTGCTCTAGCGTGATGGGCAGCTGGGGCAGTGCCCCCTCACCCAGGGCAACAAATGGGCTGTTCCACCCTTCTGCACCAGGGAGCCGATCTCTCCCCCAAGGCGGTTCTGCCATGGGGTTGGGGCGGTGGGATCTGGGCTGTGAGCGTGGATGTTCAGGGCCTGCGCCAAGTAGTGACTGGCTGGAGCCCAGGGAGACTGGCTTGTCCCTGCGCTGGCACCAAAGGCGGCTGTTGAAGCTAAACAGCCGAGCGTGGCAGGACGAAGGGCACATTCCTTCATGTTGCCCTGGCTGCTGCTTGGCTCAGCTCCCCGGGCCGAATGTGCATCGCTCCACCAGCGGCCCAGATGCCAGGCTGATCTGAGCCATCGTGCTGCTGGGGGAAGGGGAGCTATGGGGAAAGTTGGGGACCTCTCAGAATTGCTGGTAACTTTCCAACCCCCCCCCCACACACACACACACACACACACACTTGGTCTTTCCGAAGGTGAGACACC